ATGTGCAAACTCGTCGGTTTCGAACGGCGCCCCCATCGACAGATGGTACCAGCCTACCCCCCCCCCCAACTATTTGATTCTATGGAGGCCAAGACAAGTGTCCAGAGAAAAAAAAAAACGTGTCTACATTCCAGCACGGATGTGCAAGTGCCCTTTTTCAAGTGCCCCCCCCCCCCCCCAATAAATATGACCTTGCTACGCCCTTGCTGTAGCTTCTGTGTACATACGATGTGCGCGGCAGTCACGTTTTACCGTAAAATCTCGCCGGTGTTTTTAGGTCAACATTCACGCTCTGTATAACAGGAGCCTCCAAAAGTGTTTCAGTTTACCTTTGCGAATAAGTCATTGTCACGATCATGCGTCTGAAATTCTAAACAAATACATTCCTTACTAAGGAGGTCACGTGAGCAGGTGTGCAGAGGAAATTAACTCAGTTCTCCGCTCTGCGAATCGGTCAGTTTCGCGCAGAAAAAAAACTGTAAAGTGAATATGCTTGCACCGGGCATTTTTTTTATAAATTCACTTTTAGAGATTTTTTCTTCGCGAAACCGCCAAACTCACTGGTTTGACTGGAATCCTGCTGCTGCACAATTTTAACGTGTTTTTAGATGGGGTTATGATCGAGAATAAGCTTTATGTGACCTCTCTGGACTCCCATATATTTACACTAGGTTTAGTCGGGCACCATTTGCAGTCATCAGCCGACATTTGAAACAAACAAAAACCGGTTAAAAAAAAAAGCCGCGTCGCCGCACCACTTTTTGGGCAAGCTCCATACCAGAAACCGGAGACTTTTTTTGGCCTAATGAAACGCATATCACATCGCTGCGAAAAGCCACCGCCTCTGGGCAAAACGATCGATTTTCCTCCATTAAAATTATATAACCTTGGGCGTCCAGACAACTTGATGTTGTGATGATTTATTTAATGTTTTGCTTTATTAGTTCGATTTGAAAACAAACAAAAAGAAATCCTGTAGAAAACGATCCCGTGTATTATGGCGATGGGGTAAGTCAATGCTTTGTCGTTCCTGGGGTGGCTTCTCAGAAAGGTTGCGGGAGCCGCGACCCTATTTGTTAATTCGGTAAATAAGGAGAGCAGAGTGGACGAAAATCTAACAAAAAGTTCACCTGATCTCCGGGGACAAATTACAGGGCCGGCGTGGGGTGGTGTGGATTACGCGGGGCTCGCGTCAGGGGAGGCCCGGCCCTGCGGCCCGCATTAATGCCGCGAGAACACGAACGGAAAGGCGGGCGAAATTCAACACTTTCCGCTTGGTGTAGCTGAACTTCGGGGAGAGCTACTTCATGGAATGAAAATCGATAGGTTTTCTGGATTTCAAATGTTTCCTCTATGGTTAAAAACTTTATTCCAGACTTTTCTCCTTTCTGTTGTGGACAAAAAGCATTATCACCAAGAGTAAAATAGTACACTTATTCTTAATTGTTGACGTCTTGACAAAATATGTTGATGCGAAGAAGCAGAATATCAATTTTAAAATAGCTCGGTGTAAATTTGCATTGTGTGAGTTATATTAATATTATTATTGTTATTTATTCGGCCAACAAATGAACAAAAGTACACTGACAAAGCAAATAAAAATTAAAAAGTAAACAAAAATTGGAAATTGAAAAGTAAGACCAGACAAGACTGAAGAATGCGAGTAGGAATGGGTCGGAGGATTCTAGACGGATTTCCAAAACACTGACTTCGTCCTCAGTATTGGCTTTGTGTATAGCATAATGATTTAGTTGAGTATTGGGAGACTCTTTGGTTTATACATTGTTTCCTGCTATACAAAGATTTTGTTCATTAAGATAAAAGTTTTGAATGATTTCTGAAATCAGTGGTTCGATTGGGAAATGACCACAGTTTCACGCACGTGTTGCTGTAGACATATTTACTTGAACAAAAACGGGCAAGATATGTTTCTACAGTGACTGTCACTTGATCACCGCGTTTGGTGGTGAAAAACCAATTACTATAAAATCTAAACTCTAAATCATCAGCATACCTACACAGCACTCCCAAAAATGATAACAGAGTTCTTTGGAGACGGTCCCATATATAGGCCTAAGGCTTAAAAAGCAAATCACTGCTTCAAACTTGCGATTTCCCATACGGAACTTCTGCTTGGAGACTATCCACTCGCTGATGTAACTCCCCAATGATTCCCGCTCAACTTGGGTCTCTTTTCTGCCACGAGAACTTCAAATCTTGTTATAAGCAACGTTTCAAATTCTCAAACATTTACAATCGTTATACATGCTTTCGGACCACACTGAAACCAAAGCCGGAACGAAGCCGAGGATTCAGCAAATTGCCTTTGTGTAGCTCTGAGACGCAATGTACAACATCTAGGGACTAAACATTCTATGTCGTACCACGTCATACTGTTTATATACAATGTGCAGTTGCAACCGAAGCCGCAACGAAGCCGGGGATTCAGCAAATGGTCTTTGTGTACCTCTGAGACGCAATGCAATGACGTCGCTTTGTTTGTTACATCGCATTCTAGATATAAAGGTAGTGATAAACATACGGTGTCGTACCACGTCATAAATGTTTCATAAACAACGTGGCGTTGAAACCAAATCCCGAACGAAGCCGAGGTTTCAGCAAATAGCTTTTGGGTAACTCTGAGAAGCCATATCGTCACCCCGGCGTGTTTACAACTTGCATTCTTGAAGCAAAGGTAGGTAGGCACTATAATAATTCGATGTCGTACTATGTCATTAATATTTAATGTATATGCTTTCGACCATGTGAATTGCTGCGACGTGCTGACGTACGTGCCGAGTATGTGACGAACACCATTCGTTTTAATTTCCACTGCAGCGGCGCAGTATAGTTATTTCACACCAAATATAAAATCTAATCAAAATAAAATCTGAATACGGAACTGAACCCAAAGATTTGATGTCTGAGTGTGGTCCACACCTCATCGATGGAGCAAAAAAATATCAATAGTTGGACAATCAGTCAATATGTCCCTACCTGGTACCCAAAATGCAATGCGGTAATCAATGCAACATGCGTCTGCGCTATGGCTTCTTGAGAACAGCCAGGGAACATTACTGTATTATATTAAACGAGAAGTTTGATCCCCCATTGTTTTGTACAGTACATTCAATAACTAAAGAGTGTGGACCATGACGTCCTCTATGAGTATACGCAAAGAAGCAGTGAAAAGAGGGAATAAAAGAAAAGTGTAAATCTTAAATTTGAATTTAAGTCGCCGTATGCATATTATGTACACGCATGTTCTCAAGTGTTATGCAAGTTTATGAAAAGCGCCACCTTGTGTCTGATGATGTCCAACTCGGCTTGTCGTATTAACGTCCGTAAAAAGAATTTCCCCAACTTTCTTCGGTGGTTGACATTAATCTAAGACCTTCCCTCCATCCCCTCACTTCAAAATTGTTACAGCCCTTAGCTGAGAAAACCAGGTCAAAAAAACCTACACAAATTCCCCATTACAGCTCGACAGTAGAAAAAAAAACTATTAGTAGTCTCTCGCTTTACGTTTGGTGCCTGTATTAATCACAACGTAAAGGCGACCGGAAACAATCTTCCTAATAAGCCGACTTGTGTGGGGAGATGATCAGTGCGTCGCTGCGACCCGCCGACGGCGATTTGGCGTCTCGGGTATTAGGGATTGCTGCGGTGAACGGATGCACAGCTTTCTGTAGTCGTAGTAATTTTGTTGGGTGCGATCAACAGTTAGATGTCACACACACACACCACTCCCACAACAGTGATTTTGCGATGTCAGTTTCCATGTAGTTTTGTCATGTAACACTCCATTTCAATCTCATGGACTTAAAGATACGTCAAACATTATGTGTACTATAAGATTTGAAGTACATACTTTTGAATCAGGGTTCAAACATGGAGCTATAAACGCTTCATGGTTTAAAGTACTTATTTCTAAAATAGGATTGAAACGATTTGAGGAGATGTTTGTTTAAATAGTTACAAAACAGAATGAACAAAGTTTTAATTTAAACATGGACACCTACCTTTAATAGTTAATATATTTAGGTTAAGGAAAATGAAAGTGTTAAACGAGAAGATATAATATACACTATTGTTAACATCATTTGAAACGGTTTGTTGTTTTACCAAGATGAGCAACTTAAACCAAAATGTTCACTCGGTTTCTGGACGGACGATTTCCTTGTCAATAACTCCTGTTGACCTTTCCGTGACTAGACGACTTGTATAACTCGCCTTTGTAATGACACTCCGATTTACATGGATCTGTCAAAATGAAACATATGAAATAATAAAATCCTGAATATGATAACATTTGAACTCATATGAAGTTAATACTGACGTTCTATTATGTTCTAAAGACGGATCGTTTATACGAGGGCTTTTTCTCTTCTTCAAATTTCGGCTTCCTTTCTGGCTTCGGCTTCAGTAATTGTTAGGCAACTGGACTCGATTGGAGAAGGTTCATACTCTGCATCAAGAACTTCATATCCTTTGATACGAGGCCAAATTTATCTAATTATTTTCAAAATGCTTTATAATGATTTTAGAGCTTGATATGTACCCGAACTACGGCAGAGATTTACAAATTCCCCCACAGTATAACAACCAACCCCAAACACTACGTTTGTTTATAGTGTAAATCGAGGATTTCCTTTTGTTCCTCTTCCCCTTTCTTTTGTTTGTACTCTTAACTTTTTCGCAACAGCTGCTCTCGTTGGTATTGTACACGTTTTCCAGCCGAGGAGTCCTCGATTCACCGGTGACGTTGCACGTGTGTGTCCTCGATTGACACCATAAACAAACGCCAAGGCACTCACCCCAAGGGAAATTTAGAACAATTGGTGTGTACTATGAACAATGAACATGCAAGGAATATCAAAATCAGGCTAGCCATTTTAGCTGTGCATTAGGACTAAACTATTTCATGAAGTTATTAGGCAGGATTTTGGCCAGAATAAACCGCCCACAAATAAAAAATAAAGAATGCTTCACAACATGTTATTTTCACCAGAAAGTGTTTATTTGTACTGAACAAGCACTCAGAATCAAATAAACGCAGAAAAGTGTATTTTAGGTTCAAAATAGCATTTGACACCAATTAGAGAAACTATTTAAATTACATACAGTTCATACCCATTATTATTTTGAACGACCTGCATTATTGTGGTATCTTTAGGTAATACAGAAAAGAAAATTATTAAATCCTTTCAGTTAAAAACATTCTGTTCGCACACTGTTTGTGCTTGTTCATGGCAGTGAGAAAAATCTGTCAGAAACGCATAAATGACGTAATTTCATACGGTTATCCTTCTATACAAAAAAATACAATCACAGTTCTCGATACAAAACTCCAGTATCAACTGTACATAAGCTTTAGTATTGGACATTGCGCTTGAAACAACTTCCAAACAACCATACGAAAGACGTTTTCTTCAATTCACTCCCGATAGTGCCCAATGCCCATCTCAACTGTGACATGATCATAGCCACACGAAGGGTTTTTCTTTGGCTTTAACGCACAACATTTAAGCAAAATCGTTACTTACAGATGCATCCCCCGTGATATTTTCGGGTTTTACCTCGAAAAATAGATTTTTTTTTTCAGTTAATATTTTCCTAGAAATACAAAATGTATTCATTTATGAATGAGACATCAAATGAAAAAAACAAATCCACCGAAAAAAAGGCACCGACGTTAAGTAATTAAATTATTTCTTCACACAAATCGAATGATTGGCTGCCAGAAAATACTTCGTATCACAGGACGGGTTCATTTTCTGCGCAAAATGATATTCCTTATTTCAGAGGGTTGCAGCCGCCCGATTTCAAGTTTTTTCGTTAAAACAAAACATGCACTTTAAAAAAAAATTAAATTTCCCCTCAAGAAAAAAAAAAGTGCTGTACCTGATTCTTAAACCCGGCTGTTAGTGCGTCAGATTAAGCGATTCAACCAAAAAGATGATAAATTAGTATTACTTCGATATCAGTTCATGCATCACATCATGCACTACGCAACTATAAATACACATGCAACGGGAAAAAAACAATTAAGATGCCGATAATAAGGCGGTAAATTTCAAGTCTGTTTACGGTTGCAAAAGCTAGTAGAACAGTCATTGCGTATAATCAGAATTAGATCTAAATAACTGATGTATCAAATGTGTGCTGTGCATTTGCCCCTCTGCACTGAGTGTTAAGACAATGTGTTAGATAAAGTTCAAATTAATTTCTGTCCCAATTCTTCTCCTTCTACTATTGACGAGTGAGGGCGGCAGACTGCCATCACGTTGCATTAAGAAAACTTGCTGTTGAATGAAACAAAATGTTAACCGATCTTAAGACAAAGTGTGAAATAAAGATCAATTAATATCTGTCCCAAATCTTCCCCTATTAGGAATACAATGGGAGACTTTTGAGACGCTGGTGGCAGCAAACACACCGGTCATTTTCCATTGCTTATGTCAGTATTGAGCATGCGCGCTTTAACTAAAACATGAGGTAAACAATTGAAAAAGGACCGGTGTGTTTGATGTCACCAACGTCTCAAAAGTCTCTCATTGACAAGTGAGGGCAGCAGACTGCCATCACATTGCATTGAGAAAACTTTCCGCTGAATAAAACAAAATCATAACCAAGGTGTGAAATCAGATCAAGTTAATTATGTCCCAAAGCTTCCCCTTCAAGAATACAATTTACGAGTGAGGGCAGTAGACTGTCATCGCCATGCATTGAGAAAACTTGCCCCCGAACGAAACGAAATCTTAACCACGAACACAGCTCAGTCAAGAGCGCCATTGAGATTATCTATACATCACAAAAAAGCAAATACAATTTCTGGACTTATACGAATTCAGTGCAAGAGGCAAGTGAGTTGCAGCTGTCTTTATAACCTTTGAAAAAAAATAATAAGTGTTACATTTAGTAATGGGTAAATAATGCTGAAATTCAAGGGTTTTGAACTCCGTGCACAAATACCCCCTCAACGGTGGGCAGAGAAAAAGGCTAAGGCCAGCACGTAAGCCCGTCATCGGAAGCCCATGCTCATGGCGTTCGCATGCGCACACGCTTCGTGTTTGTGCAAATTCAGATGAAATGTGGTCATGGTACTCTGTCATACGCGCAATTCGCACGAGCACCATCTCCTTACGTTCATACACGTAGGTCGATACCACGTACTGTTCTTGCACGGTGTCCATAACTGATGTTACACTATTTTATGCAGATTGAAACATAGTCTGGTTCCCAGACCAAAGGGTTTTGAAAATTTTGATGAATCTTAGGTCAGGTAGTCGCCACTAGCACTGTCACGTTGTCCGAAGTTTCCAGACAATTTTGAGTTAATGTCCATTTAGGCCTTGTGCATAGAGTATGTACTAAGACAAGGGCAGAGTTTAGCTGCGTCATTTTTTAATTTTGTAGATTTAACGATCATTTGACCAACGATCGATTAAGGCATATAAAGGTGATTGTCAGGTCAGGGAACCAGACTACATGAAACAGCCAGAGGTTAACACGATCATAAGATTTAATTCATGCAACGTAAGCTGGTTAGTTTTCAGGGTGTGCGGTTACTTGTCTTCCGTCATCGATGGTTGAGACTCCAGTAACTGCGCGTTGTCCTCGTGTCGTTTGTAGGCCGACTCGCAGTGCATGCCGATACCGAGGTAGTACACCCAGGCTCCTATCGGTGCCCCGAGGAAGGGCACAAAGGTCGGGATGATCCACCAGTGAACCCCAGCTTGTCTGTAAAAAAACAGAAAGGGTTAATAATCGACACTACTTACGGGGTTTGGTCAAGGGAAGGCTGCACTGGCAAGCTTCAGGTCCACTTTAATGGATTGTTATGGCACAGCAAATTACACAGTACGGCTTAGAAAGAGTCTATTGCAAAATCACGTGAAGCCCCGTTTTTATACAGCGCTTTTGTGCAAAGAGCGACTACATAAGTTTGCAAGTAGAGCAAGTTTTCAATGCACTCTTAATTCAGATGCGTGGTGGCATACTTGTTATTGAGCGCGCTATGTGACCTGGTGTTGTTAACTCTATTGAGAAAACCAGAGACGATGTTATTGTCTAGTCCGTCACAAGTCATCGCAAGTCCATCCAACTAGTCATGCTGTCCCAATCAAGTCACAAGCTCTACCATGAGCTGTGACAAAGTTCAACCCCCCCCCCCTCCCCAGTTGGTAGAGTTTTGGTTTACTAAGTTAACAGACTTGTGATGGACTCAACTACAACACGGTAAAACAACAGCTCACTACCGTGGGAACTTACGTCCAGACATCGGACCCATAGCCGGCAAGGGCGGTGAAGACACGCGGTCCGAAGTCCCTGGCAGGGTTGATGCCATAGCCAAAGTTGTAGCCGAAGCTGATGCCCACAGCGAAGAAAGTCAAGGCAACGAAGATGGGTTCCAGACCGCTGGGTGGCTTGGAGTTCTTGCTGTCTGTCACGGCCATGATGCCACCCATCAGGAGGGCCGTGCCCAAGAGCTAGAGCGGTCAAAGGTCAAAGGTGAGCGGTTAGATGGTATTAATTTAAATGCGGCTTCAATTGAAAAGGCCAATCGACTTGCTATTTTACTAGTGGACAAAGTTGTTACAACACCACAGAATCAGGTCACAGAGTAAAATGTGTAATTTTAAGTTTTAAAAAATAGTAAAGGCCTTTTTCTACGTTATCTCCTACTTCGGCTTTTTCAGCCTCGACTTCGGCGACTTTAGGCGCCTGTATTAGGGGAATTAGACTCAACAGAAGTCCAATGTGTGCATCAGGTACATCAAGTGTTAAACCATGAAGCCACAATTTCCATAAAAAATAATGGTTTGACGTACATTAGGCTAATAAATGATTATGAAACCACAGATGAAGCCGAAGCCGAAAGAGACGAATCCAAAGATTTGAAAACCCAGGGTGACGATTGTATTTAGATGGACACTGTGCGTGGCTGACGAGAGGGCGCTGTGTTTGCATACGCTGTTCATCGTTTATACAATGTAAATGCATACCAGCGAGCACGAGGCAACATGGGAACCAACAGTTCTATTTTTCGCATTTTAATAATTGGGGGAGTACCCGTGCAAAGAGTTTAAACGCTTCACCGTTTACATGTTTTTGTTTTGTTTTACCCAATCTGACTTTATAGGGCTCAGTCTTATGACTGGCCGAGCACTGAGGTCAGTTACCGGGTTCAAGAGTAAGAGTTTTTTACCAAACTGATCCGACGGATTATTAACCAAGTCTCATATTTTATGAAAGGGTTATAAAATTAAAGAAAAACTTGATTTTCCTTACGAAAAAAATAACGTGGTTTTCTTTTACCTGGTCGACGAATCCGACACCCCAGGACAGCCCCGGTGTGGGGTAAGTAGCAAAAATGCCCGCCGTACTGGTCGGTAACACCACCGTCCTATTGTGGTCTTCTTTGTCAATGGAATCTACAATATTTTGAAAAGAACAAAAAGTATCGAAGTAGCAAGTTGTCGAAAAAGTCCTCTAAAATGTATTTAACCATTAACAAACCTATTTATGGAATACATGCCTGCAGCATTCAACCCTTATATATCTGTATCTGTATATGTATCATTATGGTCGGTAAAGCATCCCAGGGGAAACATCACACCAACTTAGAGATAGAAGACAATGGGAAGAAATTACAGGGTTTTTTCACAACCCTTTATACAGCGAAAGCGTGATAACAACGGCGGTATTTTGAAGGTATCCTTTTTTCACATTTCGTTCCAATAACAAAATGCTAAATGAAAAAAATGCACGTGTATTACATTTTTTCCAAAGAGCATCCCTTTTCTTTTGGGAAAAGTGAAGCAAACTAAAGCCAACGAACCAGCAGAATGCGGGAGGACAACACGTCAAGCTCCTGATAATGACCAGAGGACACGCCTGGTTAATCTGGTTATATCAGTTACATTTAGGTTGCAGAGGATACGATTCAATTACGATTCAATTTCAAGTTACAGTGGGGATTTCCACAGGAATCCACAAATTTAGATTTTTCAAACTTCGAATAAAATTTTAAATTAAATGACCTCCTGAGTAAGGAGAAATTTGAGCATAATTATGTTCGAGCACATTTTCCGACCCAACCGCAGAATAACGTCTGCCTCTCTTCAATATCTTATAGCTACAGCACTGAGGTTATACTAAAGATGGCAATGTTTAATGTATTGTCTTTATAGCGTGTACACTCATGTTAAACTGAATTTCAGGGTCGCACCGTATCAAAAAAGTGTTAAGAGCGACTCAGGTTGACTCGAATATATTTTGGTTTCACACAGACGAACCTCGTGTATGAAATTCTCATTGACTAGACTTTGGAGTAATTCCTAAGACCTACAACAGTCGATCAAGTCGATCTTTCGGCGTAGTCGCTCCAAACCGTTTCAAACATCCACCATTTCGATCATTTACTTTATTCAACCCCGTAGAATAGTTTGCTCTATAGCGCAGCTCTTGAACGCCGATATGAAAGGGGTGTACACTACACAAGCTTTACCGTAATAGACGGCGAAGACCATGGCCGCGGCCAGGAAGGCACCGATGAACTGAGCCAACATGTAGACCGGGAAGGCAAGCCACTTCAGCTTGCCCAAGGTGCAGAAGGCAAGTGACACCGCCGGATTCAAATGACCACCTGCAAGGTATCACACCAAACGTTAAATCGTGAGAAAAAAAATCATCACCTACATGCACTTTGACAAGCGTAGTATTATTGTTCAGTTCAATTTCTCTCTGGTTACGACGCCGAGTGTTCCCTAAAAGTACACGACAGGAAATGTGAGTGGGAAGCTTCAAGAAACCTAGCGAGAGAGAGAATATAATGAAGAAATGTTCATTTTGTGAGGTGCGAAGCAAAAATCAAGTGGATATTTCAGGAAAGCCAAAGAATCAGGCAGGGACGAAAACCCAGCCTTATTTATTGGTCGGTCGAGGCTGAATTCGAACTCGAGTCCCACAGTTGGGAAACAAAAATAGAAGTGTCACTTCGCCAACCTGACTCCCCCTTGCCATCGAAACCACGAAAACAGGAACAGCTCACTCCCAGTTTGAGAACAATCAAAAGACCACACAGTGCTAGGAAGCAGCACTTCCCTATGTTTTACCCCTTATGGTTCCAGTTCTAAACCCTACGCCTTGTACACAATGAGGCCTTCACACGGCTGGGTAGTCAGCGATTGCGAAGCTTCCTCGTATATGCCCAACAAACTTTAAACACCGGTATTGTGGACAAAAACTTTACCTGACACTGATGCTGTGAAATACACCCCCAGCATCAAGCCGAAGGAATAGCCGATGTTGACGTTCAGAAAACCTGCCCCAGTGCCCGTCCCACCGAAGAACTTCATCTGCGCAATGGCTCCATCACCAATCAACTACATGTGATGAGAAAGTAGAAAACCCATGCACGGTCGTAAAGGGTTCACTGTAAACAAGTTGGGCAAAATGGGTTGATAATAATTCGACCAATGCTGGTCGACTTATCAACTGCCTACAATTTTGGGCAGATTCTTCCCAATAGTTTGACAGTTGTACCTTATTCCACCCAATATGAGGTAATTTCATACCAATGCTGGGTAAATTACACTGCCCAACAGTGTTTCATCAACAACTTTTTACAGTGTGGTTGCAGATAACAACTGCATTATTGCTAATTGAGGGCGATGTATGAAACAGTTTTATTTTAAACTGCCATTGCCGGCACTTGGTAATAGTGCGCATTGATTTAGTTGTCAAGTTGGTATCGGCGTCATGTCAGGGCGTACGAACAGGCATAGGTCATCAGCAATTGTGTTTTCCCGATTCTGTCAAAGTACTCTGAGACGGCCAACCAGCCAGTCAAAGCAGCTTTGGTAAGACCTATAGATCGATCAAACCTAGCAACGAAATGTCGAAAATGTTGTTCTTTACTAGTTTTCTATAGTACTGTACCTTTGCTCGTCCACACCGCCACTGCCAAAGGCGCTGGAGACATTTTAGTCCCGTTCAGAAAAAAATATATCCAAAGATAGATCACCGAGTAATTTAGTCAACACCAGCACCCCATTATAGGGCTCTGGCTTTAATACGAGCGAACATTACTTTCCTAAACACACTGAAAAATAACGAGCAGTGCAGGCGAACATCACTACCGAACATCACTGCCAAATTTGAGCAAGTTCGAGCGAGAGCTATTACCAAAACTTTGACAAGTTCTAACAAGTTGACTGTAGTTGGACTAGTCTAGTTGACCATTCCAGACCATCCTACCGAAGTTGCGTTCAGAACCTCTGCACACAATCTTGACTTACCACTAGCATAAACGTCCCCAGGAGCTCGGCGCAAAATTGACGGATAAGCTCGTTCCTGAGACGGAGGTTGTCCAGGAACTTGTCCACGTGCATGAACCAACCCTCCGACATCTTGTCCGCCGAAGACTTCTGGGTTTGGCTGGAATCTTCTACAAAAAGAAGATCATTGAAATATATAAATATGTGCAGGTGAGTAAAATTTACACCAATAAGTGGTTCAAAATTCCCGATCGGTCTTCAATCACGTTGGGCATGTATATTTCGCACAGATCCTGATCCGGATCTTGTTTTTCTCAGATCCTGATTTGGATTATGGATCTTGGGGATCCTTCCCGAGAGGTGGATCAGAACGTGATTCAAAATGGCGAGTAACGAAACCATGTACAATATTCAACATCTCCATGTTTACATTTGGCTAGTCACATGACTTAAGATCCGGACCCGGTGTAGCAGTTTTGTTTGTTATAGTGAGGTACTGGTTCCAGTGACCGGACTTGAATCCGCAAAGAAACGAAGGCGCCCGCTTTTTTTTTATATTGGTGCACACGAGTTGCCCCTTTGTTAATTCGGAATGGATTTTGCAAGCTGCTTGTAGACCAGAATGACGTGAAACAATTGATAAAGCCCGGCAGACGGTTATCAACAGTTTAAAGAAGGTTTAAAGGTATACTTTAGCCAATTGTTAAAAATTGTGGTAACAGCGATTTTCGGATGCGAAAAATCCAGGACGATCGGTATGCTTAATAAACATCACGCTGAAAGAAAAATTTTGAAAAAATGTTTAAGATTTAACAAAACAGCAAACCAAACCTTTACACCCATACAAGAGCCATTTTCCCTTTTAAAGGCCTATGGGGCGATTTCCGTGTTAGCTTTTTTTCATTGAGAGCCGTCAATAAAAAAAAGTTACAACATCTTACCACCCCGAAGCAAAGTATTCTGCAAGTATCACAAATTTTGAAAATATTTTGCGTTAAACCAGCCAATAGAAAAGAAGAGTCTATTGCCATTTGCCATGGTAATGACAAACAAAATATCGTTAGGTCTCTCTTGGGCCACCATCGTTTTGTGCATTATAGCCATAGAAAGTAAGCAAGGAAGAAATACCACAGGATCACCTTAGAACAAATATATACAGCGTATTACAAAAAAGCCCTCACTGAAAAGAAAAGACCCCCAAAAAAAACAGTGCACGGGTTCGCCCTCAGCGGTGACAAAGGGAGAGTTCGGAAGGTTTGCTCAAACTCGTAGCCTTATTAGCCTATTCAGGATATGGCATTCTCTGGGAACACTCTTTTGTATACCCAAAACAAATAGCGCCCTCCGATCCCATTGTTTCCGCCAATTCAGGAGCTTTTGTGAGTAGTCAAGGAGCGCCCTCTATGATGATGCACGCAAGCCATTGCTCCTTGGAAAAGTGACCGTGTATTGCATGCAAAGAAAAAAGTCATGCATATTCATTATTCGAAACATTAATGGAGCAAGCTTTCCCACTATTTCAAAGCCCGATCTCAACAATATTCATCGCTACCATTTCAAAATGAACACGTGTATAGCCTTTTGCCAAGGCCATCGGAAGTTAACCGGCATTATTAGACGTGCGCGGCGAAGCTGAGCTGAAACTTCATCAGGTCAGTTGTTCAGCACCCTTCTTTAGATTTTGAGGAGTTTTATTGCTTCAAAATAATGAACAAAATGCACAAATTACAAATGATGGACTATACCTTTAAATGCATACTGCATGCAAGACAAGTCATGTAAACTCGCTACGCATACTGATGCACGTGTGCAGAAAAAAAAAAACGACATAAGTTCGGAAACAGCCTAGGCCGAAAATCCCTGTGTCCGTCATTCGTTGAGCGTAGTGCACTTTGCGTGATGCGTAAAAAAACAGTTGTTTGAAAAGCAACGCGCATCACACGTACGTTCATGTGTTCGTACTGCGTGCTGCGTTCTGCGTATTGCGTTGTCCGTTTAAATTTTATACGCTCCAGGGAGCAATTAAAATGGATGACGCATCCAACACGCAAGATATTTGTTGCCCATACAACTTTTAGAGAAACGATGAAGTCGTGGGGTAAAAAGATAAAGATTAATAAAATTGTCCCAAAAAGGAAGCAGTTCGTATGTGAATCATTTTAAGCACAATAAATTTAGGACCGGCCTCAATAGACCGCTTGCAGACGCGTTCGATAATCGAGGCGCGAAGGCGCGCGACGCCATGTTGTGGGTCAAGCGCATATCTATCCATGCACATTTTGTCTCACAACATGGCGTCGCGCACCTTCGCGCGTCAATTATCGAACGCGTCTGCAAGCGGTCTATTAAATATTCTTAATGTTCCGTTAATACAGCATTGAACATTCATACCCTGTGTACTTTATTGAGAAGTTAAATGTTGTCAATGTTCATTTCGTAAAATGTGTACTTTGCCAAAGCTACTCCAAATTTGATTACTATTGATATTTCTACTCGTAAAACTGCTGCACGCCAGCTCTTTAAATGAGCTTTTACGTCCGTCAAGTGTATAGACACATGGATTTTCACAGTACGCAATGCATCATGGCTACGCAACTGACACAATGCAATACGCACCTCGAAAATGGATACATGGATTTTCGGCCTTATGGTGTTTTTTTTTTCAAACGTCTTTTTTTAACTAATCAACATATTCGGTATGGGGTAGATGGACTTCTTTTTCAAACATTTGATTTTCTTTCCAGGATCGGCCGGTAGGCCTAACGTTTAATTTGTTGATGGCAATGGCCTAACGAAAACAACGTGGAACCAATTATTGTCATGATCCTGATAACTAAGAGCGGTGACCGGTGGTGTAGGGAGGGGGGGGGGGGAGAAGAAACAGGACAAGACATGAGAATAGAAATTTACGTAATGATAAGTGATCAAAGAGGAAGACAACATTGATATCGCCGAGAAGCTGCCCATGCACACCAGCAGAAAAGACACATTATGGATGCGATTCACATGAAATTGATAATACCAGCACAAACATCACAAAACATGCTAAATATTATAACAAGGGGATTTGTGACTGCCGTCCTACATACCGTTCAAATACGAGCCAGGTCGGTCGTCCGATAAAAGCTGGCTGTTCTCTGTACTTGCCATTCCTAACAATTTGAACCGTAAAAGCTATATATCTTGGAAGGAACAGATCACACAGTAATAATAAGGCGATAACTTGCTACAATGGAGCGTTCAAATGCTATAACAGTTTTCATGGTAAACGAAGGGTCTGGAGATAGATTTGACTCACTGTCGTATCAAGCAGAAATCCACAACTGGGACGTTCTTGGGAAATCAAAGACGTGAAGGGCAATCAAAGACGTTTTTTTTTCCCAAAACAGACTGATTTTTGTAAAAATATCAGATGTCAAGTTCGGAAGCCTTTAAACAGAAACATACCGCGTCCAACTGATGTCCCTAATAAAGGGCAACCATAAAAGCAACAGCTTAACTACACCTTTAACATAGGAAAATACGACACTGGATGAGTTGGTTCCCGACTCTTTAGCGAAGCTGACCTAGTCCGAGTTCTTTATCTGAACTTCCAGTTCAAATACCGAGCACTCTGACCTTTGATCAAGGAGCAGGCATATACTGTGATACTATGCCTATACCATGACAGTACCAAAACAAATCAGACTATAGGCTTGTTTAGTTAAGCTAAACCTATAGGCCCTACTGTACTCATCGGAGTTTTCGACCGGGGAACCTGCAGGGTGCAACCACCCTGCAAAAAAATCCCATAGACACTAGTGCTAAATGCGCATACTTCAAAATTCTTTTAAAAATACTCAGAACTCTCACAGGTATTCAAGCTGCACAGAAAAATGATGATCAAAGTGTCATCTTTCATTTTTTTTTCATTTTTTGGTGGGTTGACCATTGACTTTTAGAGATATTCTCACCCAAAGAAGACGACCCCTATTTTCCCCAAAGCGGAAAAGTAGCCATCTTGAAAAACGATCCCTCCACGACATGGCAAAATAGCGCCACTTTCGAGCCCAATAGCATCCAAAATGCTCAGAATTGGGAGCCCCAAGTCCGGGCCAGAGGTTCATTACCATATTTATTCAATTCCCCAATTTTATGGCTCAGCTCAAAACTCTCTAATATAGAATATTTTGAGGGTAGGCCTATAACTTTTATTCATGAGCTCGGCGGACGGACTTTTGGTCTATTTACAGGCGTGCACCCTGCAGCATTCAGACCACAGCGATTTTGCGCAGTACGCTATACCAAAACCACACTGACTGTGATGGATAATACGCTACTCCGAATCATATGACATAATTTATTCGTTCACGTGAAATGCTTCAAGCATGCGTATAATGGTAAATGATTTTACCGAGATTGGCAAACATTTCCAAGCGGGGCTTGTAATGTCATGTGTGTGAAAAATCCTGTCCTTGAAGTGATTAAATTAAATAACCAGTTGACAGCAGAAGAAACGGGTAATAAAAAGACAAGACGTAACTCCTAAAAGAAGGACAAAACTGTGTAAAAATGGGGTGCGCAGATCCGCTACTGTCAACTAAAAACGGACGTTAAGATCGTCAAGAGATAAACAATGTACACGCACTGCTCCTGAGGATCAATGTTCAACGGCCAGTTATTATTGGATGACGTTATTTCTAGATTATTTTTATAACGCTGATCAGACCGAAGGGAATGTCGGTTCCATCCTAACCGGCTCTCCTTCCCGCAAAAGAAGAAAAATAGTAATAAATCTGAGGTTTATTTGAAACTTTATAAAATAAAAACAAACATCCGAGCCCGTTAACCCTGGAATCAAATGACACCGTCTCCTCCGTACACCAATCAAAGGAGTAGATAGCAACGTCTTGCTAATAATAGTTGCTATATATGCTTAATTGTTACCGGAATTTGTCACACACACAAAAAAACAAATCTCCCCTCCTTATTCCCCCACCCCACACCCCCACCCACTCCCAGTTAAGAGGTAATTTCTGTGCATCGCCAAAATACGGTCAAAATTAAGGGCCAGCTAGACTGGAATATATTCAGGGACTCCAGACAAAGGAGTATCTTTCGTCTAGAATGCGTCATTTCCGGCTCCAAAAACGCGCTACCCACGAAATAAAGATAATTTAAATGTGGAATATAAAAGTCGCACAACACTTAAAATTGATAATTTGAGGTTTTCGGTGGGGTTTTTATGGCACGAAGGAAATACGTTGATTTCCTTTCTTATAACACTAAATTCAGGCGATAGGCTGGGCGGACGTGCACCTTAAGTAAACGGTATCGTGTCACGAGGGGGTCATGGTACATTTTACATCTTTCTTAATTTGTTTACATAAGTCTCGTGACTTCCATTGACTATATATTATGCAAACTATAGCATTATTGGTCAAAGGTTAATTGACGAGGCAATACTGTGCTTTAACAGCCAACTAGTAAAAATAACCCTCAAAATACCTTTATTTCTCGTACACTGCTTAGGCCCTAATTTAAAAATACAATATCGTGTACAAAGGGTTTGCAGTTCCTTCGTTTCATTTACGGACCTCCCCACTAATAAACTTCTAAAGCCGAAACGGTGTATAAAGTTATGACACTAGATATAAAAATGCCTCTGATCGTCTTTATTGAAATTAATTAGTATGGGTTTCAATGCAAATCTTTCAATGCAAACCTTTCACACCTGAGACGACCCAGTGAACCCCCAAAGTATTGCTTGATATCATTCCCCACTCACGTGCATAGATGATTAGGCAATTTTATTTATATTCATATGTGAAGTCACGAGGATTGATAATTTCGTTCATCTGATTTCTGACATAATACCCCATAAGCACCACAGATATGTTTAAAGTATAAAGGATGTTCCAATGTAAATACATTATTTTTGGCTGATATTCCTAAACAAATTTGAAGAAATGTTGGTTGCCCTGTACTCTATTAATGACGTTATTTGCTATAAGGCAACCTGAATTAGAATGTGCTTCACAATTTTTTGTTCCATTTAAGGTCAAAATATTATTTGTGTAATTGCTACAATTCAATGCTAGTAATATCCCAAATAATTTTCAAGTACCCGAGAGGGTTTGGGGAACCTTCCTAATTTTACCTCGGTAGTCAAATGAAGGGAAGCTATTTTTTTACGTGTGTGTGTGTGTGATTGTTTTTTGTGAAATATTGAATCGCAAGCACTTGTGTGATTGCAAGAGTAACACACTTTGGGAGGGGTTAGTGTAATAAATGTAAACATGCCCCCAACATAAATAAAACCGCACAGAAAATTGAACATTTAATGTCGAATCTTGCATTGCCAGATTTCATTGTTCAGTAGGCGATATCGCGTCGTATCAGCGTTTTTAAGAGTATATGATAGATATTGGAAAAGAAAACAAACAGAAATGCATATATTTTAAAAACATGGCAAGATGTCTAGTCAAACATGAAGGCATCAGGAGATGTTTTTATGGGCAAATCCACCTGCACGACTTGAAGGTGAGCGTGAATACATGAGGGTACATGCTACGCTCCACGCAGACAAGATGAACATTTCGGACTGTTATTACTAAAGTGCCATCGAATCACTACGGACGATTGTTCGTGTGTAACGGCACACTTGTCCATAACTAAATCGTTACTTCTAATACGCGTGACCGTGACGCCGATTAGTCTTGATTCACACTGCTATAAACTCCAATGTGTTATGTTGATTTGCTTTGAAACACTCTAAGTAAACGCTACATTCCGGCGATGTCTGGGCGGACGTTAAACTTTGGAGCGAGCCGTGTCGCGTGTCACGAGGGGGTCATGGTACATTTCACTACTCGTGACTACCATTGACTATTATGCAAACTATTAGAGGTCAAAGGTTAATTGACGAGGCAATACTGTGCGTTTAAGGTACAGTCCATCATTTGTAATTTGTGCGTTTTGTTCGTTTGAAGCAACATAAGTGCTAAACAAGTAAACAAAAACCTCAAAATACTTTTAATTCTCGGACACGTCCTGCTCATCATAAAATACAATTGTACAAAGAGTTTGCAGTTCCTTCGTTTCATTTACGGACCTCCCCACTAATAAACTCCTAAGCCGAAACGGTGTTCACACAAGATCTGATCGTCTTTAATGAATTAGCATTGGTTTCAATGCAAACCTTTCAAACCTGAGACGACCCAGTGAGCACCGAAACGATTGCATCACATTCCCCGCTCACGTGCATAGATGATTAGGCAATTGTATTTATATTCAAGTGCAGTCACGAGGATTGATAATTTCGTTCATCTGATTTCTGGCATAATACCGCATAGGCACCGGATATGGTTTGTTGGTATTCTCAATGTGGGGGTTCCAACGTAATTTCCATTATCTTTGGCCGATGCTCCTAAACAAATTTGAAAAGGAATGTTGGTTGCCCTGTACTCTCAAGGCAACCAGAATTGGAATGTGCTTCACAATTTTGTGTTCCATTTTGTGGTCAGCATATTATTTGTGTATTGCTACGATTCAATGCTTTCATATTTTCTTCATATCCAAAATAATTTCCAAGTACTCGAGAGCTGGGGAACCTTCTTAATTTTACATCGGTAGTCAATTGAAGGGAAGCTTTTTGTTTACGTGTATTTCGAAACCATTTATGTGTGTGATTGGGGGGGGTGAAATATTTTGGAGGGGTTAGTGTCATAAATATAAAACTATACCCCCAAAATAAATAAAACCGCACTGAGCAAATTGAAAATTTAATATCGAATCTTGGATTGCCAGATTTCAATTGCAGTCGATTATTGCGTCGTATCACCGTTTTTAGAGTATTAATGTAATTATAAGAGATATTGGAATAGAAAACAAGAAATGCATATATTTTATGATGGCAAGACGTCTAGTCAACCATGAAGGCGATATCAGGTCATTTTTTTATTGGCAAATCCACCTGCACGAATTGAAGGTGAGTGGTGAATACATGAGGGTACATGCTACGCTCCATGGATATGCAGACAAGATGAACATTTCGGACTTTTATCGCCAATTCAGTGATAATAGAAAAGGAATACGAAATCCTAGATTCAAAAAATTGTCGTTAAAAAAAGATAATTTTACAGCAATGAGCGTCATTTGCACACGGTTGGAAAAAACCCCAAATTTTATTTTACTGCCCTGGTAGTCTCATCATAATGACAGATGGTACGTGCATTACAGTGGCAGCGAGGCGTTCACCGTCTACTGCGCGCACTGACTGACCTGAAAATCCAGCTAAAAAGTTGCCAAGGTTCAAGGTTTCTAACCTGAAGCATAAATAATCGTATCCCTAAAGGCCCTATGAGTAAAGCGGAACCGACATACAGGCTACAGAATGGGCGCATTTGTAATTCACGGCATGGTTGTAGACCTTGGCAGGTATAGCAGCCTTTATATTTTTGGATAATGTTTTAACAGTAAATGCACTCATGCCTATCCTAGCTTGTGTAGCAAAAGCACACATCACGAAATTGTAGTGAACCAATGTAAAGCAGGCATATGGCGTAACATAACAGTATATGGCCCAACAGAGCAGTATTTCATATGTACGTGGGTTTCGGTGGGTTGAATGCCTACTTTTTATCGATTTTGAAGTACCATTAAATCATTACCTGCGACTATTCGTGTGTAACGAACGGCACACTGTAATAACTAAATCGTCACTTCTGTTTCTTATCCACCGTGACGCCGATTTGAGACTGCCATAAAACTCCAGTGTATTATTTTTTAAAAAGGCATAGAAAAAAGTAAACACGAATGAAAAATTCGACATTTACTGAGCGAGTCCTTTTGAACACATATGCAGTGACTGTTCGAAGTTATAGTTGAGGCATCCAAACAAACCACGACGGATCGATCTTGAAAAGATACCGTACAAATGATATACATGTACAAAGATTGAAACCTGACTACGGTCCATTATTACAGCAACACAGGGGAAAGGCACGTCATTTGCCACCGAATTATAAAAGGCCAGGACAAAAATATCACAACACATGCAGCAGTCCGTGAAACCATATGCTTGTAAATACAGGTCCAAGTGCTACTACTAGGCCTTAACACCAATAATTTGAAGTCCCCGCCGGTTCCAATGGAACTGCTGCATATGTGTGTTCGCCTATAATGCCAGCTACATTTCAGCATTAATTTAGTGTTCTGAATAACAACGATAGGCAATGGGCTAGGAGTTTGACAGTAGTACGATACAGAAACATAAACACAGTACTTACCACTTTCACGCCTTCCTACTGACAACAGCAAAGCAGGTTAAGCATCCGTACACAGGTGTTCCACGCCCCCCATAAAAAGTACACACTCGTGACTCGCCGCACGAGATTGACTATCAAGCATAAATAGCGCCCTCTAATGCTACCATTGAAACGGAAAGGGAACCTGACTTTTGAGGAAATCTCTTGGAGAATTGCTCTGAAGTTAAAATAAAGAAATATGCACTAATGGGATTTAATGTAAAACATAATCAAACCATGAAGCATTAAAGATGTATACCAAGACTCTTTTAAAAAAAGAAATGGATTTTGGATTTTGTCTTCCCGTCACAAATTTTCAATTTGTATGTTTTGTTTTAACGAAAAAAACTACTTTATTCAGATGTTGGGCGTCTGCAACCCTCTGAAAAAGGCCTTCATTTTGTGCACAAGTAACCCGCCCTGCAAGAGTTGTATTATTGTCTGGCAGCCAATAATTCGAATTTCGTTAAGAAATAAATCTATATCTAAACGTCGGTGGATTGTTTTTGTTCAATGTCTCATGCAAAAGCGAGGAAAGTAACAATTCCGAAAAAAAAAATCATCCCTTTTTCGAGGTGAAACTCAAAACTTGCAAGGGAAATGCGTCTTTAAAAAAACAAAGACATGAAGGTGCTTTGTAGAGAAGAATACCACTTCCGGCCGTTCAGTTGATAATGAAGTCTTCGAAAAATTTCTTGAAGGTTAAAACTTGCTACCAAATGGTCAAAAAATTACGATAAACTTTTAACGTCAATTGTATTTGAAAAATCGTTATTTTTTCTTTTAGTTTAGTTTATTGGAGTACACACCGTACCTCTAGCTCTCATGTCATTCACTGCCAAACACGAATGTCTAAATACACAGTTAAAATATTGTTGTTGTTGTTGGCATTGTTGGTGGTGTTGGTGGTGTTGTTGGTGTTGTTGGTGTTGTTGCGGTGTTGTTGGGTTTGTAGGTGTTGTTGGTGTTGTTGTTGCTGTTGTTGTTACTGTTGTTGCTGTTGTTGTTGCTGTTGTTGCTGTTGTTGTTGCTGTTGTTGCTGTTGCTAATGCTAGTGCTGCTGGTGCTGATGTTGCTGCTGTTGCTGCTGTTGCTGTTTTTTCTTCAAAATTTCAGCTTTGTACCCGTTTCCAGTTCAAAAACCGGTTAATCCAGCACCCTGATTTGGCCTGAATGGTGCAACACACCTCCATTCAAACCCACGTCTAAAAATCGTTGCTCAAGAATTTAGAAAGACAAGAATGCAGAATTGGTGCATAAGCTGAATGTCACAAACTATTTCCTAGTCTGGTTCCCAGACCTGACAATTATTCCCGACGCTCACGTCTTAAATTGTAGGTCAGGCAGCCTCCGTAGCTAAAAATAAACATGACGACATTAATGGCCCTTTTTCAAAGCGCGGCTTCGTTTCCGATTTCGCTTTATCACTTGTAGCTTTTAATGTTCTGATCAAATCTTTAAATAAATTACTTGCTTCGTAATATCATACAGTTAAGATGACCTACAGTTTGATGTTTTTGTAAGATAACATTGAGTAATGTTGATCTGGAATCTTCAAAATTACGGAACCAAATAGCACTGTTAGCAGGCAAAAAGTTCGCCCGTACGTTCCGAGTATATTTGATGTACAAAATGGTCGTTGAATTTCAAGTTTTCTAAATGAAAACAATGAATATTAATTATCAACTCATTTAAAATAAAATTAATGCGTCTTGTTTGCAGGGCGGGGGGGGGGGTGTACGAGCGAAATTCCTTGGTGCATGGCTCTTAATAACATCGCCCTCTATCGATACCAGGAGGATTTTTTTAAGCACAAGGGCTGAGCCAGACAAAATTACTTTTAAAAAGTAAACACTTGAACATTACTGTATATAAAGACAAAATCGTGTGCCAAGGAAAAGGACGTTATAACGTTAGCAGCCAAGGCACGCAAAAAGATAATCGAGTTGAAAGGTTTTGTGCTCCTATTTCTAAATTTAAATTCACATAAGGCTGAAGTTTTGACTCATGAAATTCGTTAATAATTGAAATAGTGCATTTTCATTTCAAAAGTATTACATAATTTTGAAGTATTTACATGTTTTAACGATCTTTTACAGGGAATTTCCCCTGTACTGCCTTAAACGTGCGCTTAAGCGGTATGATAAATCATTTGCCGGGAACAAACTTGGCTTTGCGTACCCTGAGTGGGACGTTAGCGCACTTGGAACGAATCTTGTTACATTAAAATTACACGCTAACGTCCTTTTGCCGGGGAAAAATAATGAAAAACATCCTTCTGTCGTTTTCATACTGTTAATGACATAAGAATGACGTAGCCCCTCGATACAAAATGTATATCAAATGATAGATATTTCAAAGCTCTATCGATATACCACAAACATCTTTTTGACCCATTTTGTTTTGGCCCTAACAACCTTCTTCCACGCACCCGACGAAATGTGAACTAATTTGAAACTTTACATAAAAAAAAAATGTCAAGTTTCCTATTAAAATCGACAGTTTTCATAAGACTTTTCGACTCGCGTAAAACACGCGAGCGCGCTGTTTAAAACAGATGAGGGCGCTACTTAATACTCCAATAAATCTATATCAGTGGCAGCAGATTACAAAATGTACCACGAACGACCATTAGCCAATGCTGCAAATAATTCCAATGGTTGATTTTTATGTGGTTATCATGGGGGCAATCCAAGGGGATATGAACATTTTCTTCTTGCGCGACCCTTCTTTCCCATAATCAATAGTATACTTCCGAGGTATACATTACTATCGTCATGTACTAGCTGTAAGATGCATTCACTGTTGATGTGGCAGTACAAATTGCGGTAAATGAGTGGACCTAAAACGTAGTATTGGTACCCACAACTATAAGTTCCAAACTATTTAAACCTAGACGAATCTTATAGGTCACGTGGGCTCCCAATTTCGCTCGTACCCCCGCCCTGCAAACAGGACGCTGGGATACTCTTATGAGCTTCACAGAATCTTGTGAAGGAAGTTGCCTATGACCTATGTATAGAGCATCTGGTTGCAGCTATTCAAGACCGCAGTTAGACAATGTACGCAAATGCTATCCGAAAACTTCCCATGGAAATACACGCTTTCCATACCGGATGTGATTTCTGTTTCATTGGGGACCATGTGGACACAATTTTGAGCGTCGCATAATGCAATCCGACCGTTTGTGATTCGAAACGGAGCCTGAGCAAGTGACGGGAATTGTAGGTTTAGCAGATAGGTTTAGCAGAATTTCCTACATTATTATACGCTTTTCAACGACAAAAAAACCTCTCTAAACTGGAATAAAAGAGTAATGAATCAGTCTTAACGGCCGTTTCAAACCTTGCAGAGTCATGACCGTGATGACGCGCAGGTCACAGGTCATGCAAAATCCAACCAATCAGAGCGTGAATTCATAAGAGTATCCCATCTCCTATTTGCAGGGCGGGGGGTACGAGCGAAGGTCACCCCAAACTGTACTCTCTTTGCCGGTGAGGGGGTACTTGTGAACGGAGCGGATATGGGCACAATCCTGCCCAGTTCGAAAACGACCGTTTTCCGAACACGTTTTCATGACAGTACGGATCATGTTCGCGACAGAACGGGTGTCTCGGGTGAACAATTAGTGTTGTCGATCCTGAAAATTAAGATTAAAAAAAATAAAACTCGCATGAAGCCCGGTTCATACTCGGCGCGAAAGCGAAAGCGAACGCGAATTTGTGACGTTACGACAAGTATTCGCGCTGCGAATTCGTAAAAGTTGAACATATTTCAACTCGGGCGAATTTCGCAGCGAATGTTTCATGACGTCCAATTTGCTTCGCATTCGCATTCGCGTGAAGTATGAACCGGGCTTAAATTCAATGCCAGGCGAAATTCCCGGTTTCTGCATTTAGAGGCGTTGTGTTTCGAGTATGCACCCGGACGAGGGCTTGGCATTGCTGCTTTAATTAAGCCCCGCCGGTTCAAACTTCACTCGAATGCGAATACGAGGCGATTTTGACGTCATGAAACATTCGCTGAAATAGGTTCAACTTTTTACGAATTCGTAGCGCAAATACTTGATGACGTCACGATTTCGCGTTGGCTTTCGCTTTCGCGCAGCGCCGAGTATGAACCGGGCTTAACGCCGTATTTTTTAATTGTGACAGCTATCTGACCAATCATCTGACTGTACTGATTCAGAGATGAATGTAAAGTTTGAACAGCGCCACCAAGGATTACAGTGCGTTCCTCCCCTCCCCCCCCCCCCAAAAAAAAATAAAATAATGCGGTCTAAATTGTGTGTGCCTTTTGTCGTTCTGTCTTTTTATGAGAGAAATGTCACCGTCTAATCTTGAAGGGTTGAAATGTTGGCGTTTTGTTTATTCGCGGCTGCGGTTCACCTTTCCCTTGTTCAGTCGAAGCCGCGAGGGCCAGTTCGCATTCTTCCCGACATGTGTAATAACATTGGCGCTTTGAAAGCAGAAACCCGAGTTTGTTATACTCTATTCAGCCGTTTGATTGTATCCTTTGCCGGGCTTATGCACACAAACCGGGAGACTTTGAACAGTGCCCACAAAAAGAAACTCGAAAAGAGGGTAATAATGGTTTGGTTTTCTGTCTCACCCTCGGGCTTCTTCCAATACGATGCCGGGTAAGACAAGTTCGCGGCTTTTCACTCATATCAATAAATACCGTCCTTAGCGCACCCGGTACGGTACCCGTCCGTGTGCGGTGAATGTACCCTCATGCACGGATCCCTGGGGTGTGCATGCACCTAATCAAGGGGAATACTTTGACCCGATTTCGGGGTAAGCTTTTTTTGGGGGGGGGGGGGGGGGGTCGGGGAATGCTGTACCTGAGACTTTGCAGGTGTTCGTCTTAAGGCTCATCGTCTGATCCGACCGCGACGTGTGCACCTGTGCCCGTTCCATTCAGAGCGTGGGGGTGATAATGTACTGGGTTGTATCGAGGGGGTCATACAAATAAAAGATTCTGTGAAGCTCATCAGCGTATCCCAGCGCCCTGTTTGCAGGGCGGGGGTACGAGCGAAAATAATGACCAGCCTTGGGTCAATACTTGGTACGAACAACCTCTA